TTTTTTTTTTAAAAGATGGAGATGTCTCTTTAACTGTTTTTTAGACTGGTGCCACCCTTCAAGACCAATGAAGCATACTTTTATAAAGCCTACTGACTCTTAGTCATGTGTGGCCTTGGAAATTATTTGGGCCGACTTGCTTGTCATAGACAAGAACTATTTTGTGTAACAAGTAGACTTTCCAATCCATTAGCCTCAACTCTAGGTGGGATTCTGGAGGCAAATTCTCTGACCACATGTTTGGTTTCCTTGAATAGCCATGGCATTCCCTGAGCAAGAAAAGGCATGCTTTATCATCTTAAAATCCTGACTGCCATTAGCAAGGGATTTATAGTGTAATTGAAATTATTGAATTTCAGGGCCCTTCCCTTTCTTATTTATAAGCCTCTTTTTTCAGGGCTTCCCTGAGGATGTTGCAGCACCAAAACAGTGTATGGCATAGCTTGAGCATTTAGTTGATTTTTCTCATTTTATTTTCATTCATTCAGGCAGTATGATTTGAGTTGCTTAACTACTTTTATTACCTTTTCTTTTTAACCTACCATACAGTAAGGCAAAAAGTATAAAACAGCCAGAGGAATAGGTATCTGCCCAGTTGGATGTACAAATTTTTAATACAAAGTAGGCTCTTCCTCCCCTCCCCTTCCCTGCCCCTCTTTCGTGTTCTTCTACCCCTCCACAAGGACCTTGCAAGCACTCCTGCAACTGAGTAACCCCTGCACACACACACACACTTCACACACACTTTTATTTTGCTGATGCTTAACTTCTATTTTATTCTAACAGGATTTTGCCCATCTAGCAAAAAAAATGTTTCCTCTAAAGTAACAGTATTATCATTATTGTATTCAACATTACCAGTGTCAGCACAGACTTTCCCCCTGGAGGAAATATGAACACACTAGAAGGACAGATAAGTAATCTGTCCATGGCTCACAGCTCCTGAGGCAGGAGAATGTTCAATGGACCTTTGGAGGTTGTTTTCTTTTCAGAGTGCTGAATGCACTCAGGTCTTACAGTTCTTAGTCTTAGGTGTTGGGTCAGGGTCAGCCTCTACCATTTGGTTTTTCTTGAGGGGAAAGCTGTCTCAGAAGCAAAGACTCAAGTAAGCTTGAATATCTGGGTTCGTTATTTCTCCCCATACACATACTTCTGTAACTTTCCATCACGGAACTGTATCCTTAGCCCAAGAGGATTTTTTTTTTTTTTGGTAGGGTTTGCCCCAGATAACTCTTTCAGAGCCTCTTAGGAACCAGGAAAACTATCAAATTATTTCTTGGAACTGACATTTCAGAAACTGCACCCAAGAGGCTCATGCTTCTGTTTTCATTTAAGAACATTGATGTAACAGGGCTCTTGCTCTCAGCTGTCAGCCCAGCTTCAGACCCTGAGGGGGGTGCAGATAAGGGTCTGGCAAACCAGCTGCTCTTGGTGGGTAAAAGCTGAGAAAGGAAAGTTCTTGGAAAGGTGAAACCTGGAAACTAATTGAAAGTCTGAAACAAACAAACAAACAAAACAATAAACAGCTGGTATCAGTTTTGGGTTTTGGATTTTCTTTACTTACAAACAACAAACATAACATACACTGGTTTTGGTCAGGGATGACACATCTGAATCCCAAGGAAACTCTATTTCCAGAGGAGAAAATATATTTTAACAATGTGCTTTTCACTTAGAAGGGATCACTCCATTCACAATCTTCAAGTTTTTTTTTTCTGAAGATGTACTCATTTTTATTTTTATGTGTATGAGGGGTATGTATTGGTGGTTCAGTGGTAAAATTCTTGCCTGGCACGTGCATGTATAAGTGTTTTGCCTGTATGCATATATGTACACTCCATGTGTGTCTGGTGCCTCGGTAGACCAGAAGAGGGCACTAGAAACTGGAGTTCCACACATTTTGAGCAGCCATGTTGAAGTTCGTAAGCCCTGAGCCATCTCCAGGTCCTAGGATCTTTCTAAGTTTTAATATACACAGTTGGGCTTGAGGCTGGAGGACAATTGAAGACATGGAATTGGTAAAGTTGTTGCACTTATTCTTAGCTTTCAGTGAAAGTCCATTTTTAAAACGCTCTAACAAAATGGCTTGATTTGAGTTAGATTAGAATGATTCTTCAGTATTACCAAGATAACCAATTCCTTGCCCCTTTCCCTCAGGAGCAAAGATAAAAAGGAACAAAATACATTTATAAAGGTCAGATTCTAGACTTAGTTAAGCTGGGGGCAGCATAGTTGTAGAAAGAATGTGGGGCTCCGGGGCTTTGCAGTCCAACAGGCCTGTGCTCAAATTCCAGATGAGTATCTGGGATGTGCAAGTGTATGTGTATGAATGTATTATGTTTTTAAAAAGATGAAGTCCAGTATCAAAAAGCTGAGGTAGCCCCAGAGGACCTCAAGCTTTCTGTTTTGCTAAGAGTGGCCCTGAATCCCACCCTCCCTTCTTCTGTCTCCTAAGCACTCAGGCTCATGGACACAGCACCAAGCCTGCTCTAGACGACCTCTCTTATTATTGCTGTGGACTTGAGCATGCTAGTCCAACCTTTGGGCCTATGTGTCTTTGATGATAGATGGGGTCTGTTTGATTAAAGTTTGAACCTGAGATATTTCCCCAAAGACTTGGGGCTTGGCTGCCAGCTCATGAGCTTTCGGGTGAGTGACAGGTCCTAAGGGGTTGACCTAGTCAATGGATGCATCCGTTAATGAATATAATGAATATATAATGAATGAAAATAATGGATGCCATTATTTTGAGGTGTTGGGTTTTAGGTGGAGGAAATAGGTTCCTTGGGACATGCCCTGGAAAGATATATTTTCAAGAACTTCTCTGCTTCCTGACTGTCATGAGGTGAGTTGTGATGCTCTACCACATGCTTTCTGCCGTGATGCTAAGGCTTATCGTTGCCTAGAAACAACAGACTCAGATCTCTGAAACTCCCCTTTAAATACTTTTCCTTAGGCATTTTGTCACAGCAAAGAAAAAACAAACACAACTTGTGAACCAGGAGGTTTCAAGTATAGTAGGCAAACAGCAGGCACTTCATGAACCATCCATACTCCACCCACGTAGCTCCCATCAGCTTTCTGAGGTCATCCCATGCCCTCACCTGTGGTACTCTGGCAGTCACAGCAGTCCTGGGATCTCTGGGGGTGGGAAGCGTTGCAGCAGTGGAGGCAGCGACCCTCATCCATGTGTAGTAGCAGGCCATCTGGGCACACGGTGCAGTTCTTGGCTCCGGGTCCCTTGCACTCCACGCAACTCTCGTGGCATTTTTTACAGTTAAACTTTTCTCCCTATTGAGAATAGTAAAGAGGTTATTTTTGAGAGCACAGGTAGTAATCTGGAACCGGAGTTCTCCAATAACTCGTCCCTCTTGTCATATGAATAGGGAACAATGTGAGTGTATGTGTGTGGTGGTCTACTCCATTTTAAAAAATGTGCAATGGAGTTTTGCCTGCATGTGTGTTGTGTGAGGGTGTCAGATCCTCTGGAACTGGAGTTACAGACAGTTGTGAGTTGCCATGTGGGTGCTGGGGATTGAACCTGGGTCCCCAGGAAGAGCAGCTAGTGCTCTTAACTGCTGAGCCATCTCTCCAGCCCATTGTTCTACTCCATATTATCTGGGAAAAAGGCCAAACCAAAAGTGTACAACTGGAGGAAAACTTTTGCTGGGCCCTGCCCTCTGAGATGGGCTTGGTACAATAACAGGAGAACGTTAGGCTTCAGGAGTGTTACAGTATAATGTAACAAGCTCCTGCCTCAAAGACAGTGGGAGTCAAGGACAACTTGTGTCTGAACTTTGCCATACCTATGCAGTCTAGACATTTCCACAGCACTCCACATTGCAAAAGCAATAATCTAGATGTTAGTTTCTAATTCCTTCTCAAAATCTACCTCTGTTAAAGCTGAAGCCATCACCCTCACGTGGCAATGTCAGGAGCAGAGTAGAATGGTAGCAACCCCTTCTTACTGTTCTCCAATTTGATGCAATTCCTAGCGTTTTGTACTCTGTACACATAGGTGGCACCATCAATTTCTATTCTTTTTACTTTTGTGTGTACATGCACTTCTTTTCTTCTTGTTGTTATGTAGCCTGGGTTGGCTTCAAACTCACAGTCCTCCTGCTTTGAGTCTCAGCCTCCCGAATGTTGCGATTAGGTTTCCACTTTCCACCAAGTTAGTGCTATGGTTTTCTTTGGCTTTTACTCTTTAATATGAATTCCCTGCTTGCCTGGATTCTTATGCCCAGAGTCAGAATTCAAAGTCCAAGGCAACATCTATCTCCTTGCCTGGTGCTAGAAATATGGGTTTGGGGAAGACACCTTATTTTAAAAATTATCATTATTGTTATTATTATTATTATTACTATTATTAATATTGTGTGTGTGTACGGATGCATATATAGCAGGCATGCATGTGGGGGTTGGAGGACAACTTTTAGGAGTTGGTTCTCTCCTTCCACCATGGGATCTGAGGACTGCACTCAAGTTGCATGTACAACAAGCATTTTTACCTGTTAAGCCATCTCACTGGCCCGGAAGACACCTTCTTTTTGTGCATCTGTAATTTCAGTGCAATGGAAGAGGAGGAGGAGAAACAGAAAGGTTGGCTGCTCAGTGGTGGAGCAAATGTTAGGCACCACTGAAAATAAATCCATACGAAGAAAAGAAAAGAAGGAATGGAAATTGTATTTCTTGAGGCATTTTGGAGCATCTTAGATGCTGATAGCATGTTTTCAGCTGATATTGTCAAATCTTCAGAGTGTACTTCTCCCTGTGTTACTTCCTATCCATGTGGTAGTTAATAAATTATTTAATTTCTCTGAGCCTGCCTCTGTGAACTAGAATTCTGATATCAGAATTCAAAGAGAGCTTACTTGTAAATCTGCTGATTTGTTTTAATTTCACCATTGATGCATTTTCTTATGGTTTCTAGTCTAGAATCACACAATCAAGAAGTGAAGAGGTTTGGGAAGTCTGTGGCTCCAGGGAAAGGCTGTTATCCTGCCCTGGAGGAAAGGAAAGAGCTGGGCCAGCAAGCTCCCTCCTGTGTCAGGAGTCTGTTCAGACAGTCTGGAAAGAGAACAGTTAGTATTTCTGCTGTACTGGAGGACTGAGCTTCCTGTGGTCACACAGAACTACTCCAGGGCTCAAGTCATCTTAGATCCATTCAGTTCCTGTGAATCAAGAGGAAGCTTCGGGTTGGTAGCTTGACTAGTTTATGAATGAAAGACATGGTACAGTGTTAAACCTAGGCTGTGGTGCGTGTAAGAATTTAGTCTGTTTTCACTTCCCAGAATGACATGTAGGAATTGAGCTCCTTAAGGTTGGGGGCGGGGGTGCTTACACCAACCAAAGGTCTCAGTACCTCTCTATCTCTGTATTCCCCTACAAGACATTCCGGGGCACAAATTCCTCTCTGAAGGTGGTAGCTCCACACACAGGACAAGCAATTCCATGCCTCCTTTCCTGAAAGAGAGAGAGGAACAAAGAATCATGTTATGAGACAGATTTCAGATTCTAACCTCTGTCTTGATGTTGGAACACTCAGGAGTAAGGAAAATGTCAAGTAAATTGAAGCCAAAAGGTGACTGAGGAAAACTTTTGCTGGGCCCTGCCCTCTGAGATGGGCTTGGTACAATAATAGAGAACGTTAGGCTTCAGGAGTGTTTCGGTCTCCAAGACAAAGTCAAGACTTACAGATTGCTCAGTCCTTTCCACGAACGGGACTCTCAGTCCGTTCACTGAGAATTTGAAAGCAAAACATTGTGTGTTTTGCAAAAGACCTCAGAAAATGGGAAATCTCATGGGATGCTTCGGAAACCCTAGGGGCCAGGCTGTAGCTTGTGGTAGACCCAGCATGCAGCTTGCACAAGGCAAGCCCTGGGCTCCATTTCCAGTACTGGAAAAGGAACATTTACAATGCCTTTACTCCTCCTCCTATCACATCAAACACTGCAAGTTTCCTTGAGGATCCACGCCCCCACCCTTTGGCATTATTATGTATGTAGCCTCTCTGCTGGGCAGCAGGCTACCAGACCTCTCCCTGTGTGACTGCTCTCTTCCCAATTTGGCTGAAGTCCAGACCCAAGGCAGTATTGAGTGGTGTGTGTGTCAGCCTTGGTGGGAATCAGTGCCTTATGACATGTGCTGCTTTGCTGTATTGTAAGCCCTGCACACCGAGGCACTCGGGATCTTTCACAAAGGGTTAATTTCCTGATGGTTTCCTGTCTGTCTGTCTGTCTGTCTGTCTGTCTGTCTGTCTGTCTGTCTGTCTATCTATCTTCCCAAGACTAAGAGCCTGTGCCTGTTACTGTTTCTAAGGAGCCTCGAGCCTGGAAAGACAGACCTTTTGACATCTCCTTCAAATTCAGAACAGCTCACCATCTGCTTTTCCTCTCACCAACCTCTCCCCTAGCCAGCGCCACAAACTCAGCTCCTGCAGGATGGCCCTGGGGTGTGTGTCTTCAAGAGGTGCTGCGCATGGAGAGGCTGCTTGAGAAAGTTCGGGGCTCACCACCGTATGAGGGCAATAAATAAATTAGGAAGTAAACATGTTAAGGGACAAAGGAACTCTGGAGGCACCAGCTGTACGCAATGGCAATGGTATAGATCAGGTAAGTGTGTGATGCGCCCCTCCCCCTGACTCCCAGAGCTTCAGGTTATTCTTCTCTTCCTCCCCACCTTCCTCCCTTCTGTTTCCACCCTTCTTCCTTTTTCCCAACAGGGTGTCACTGAGTAGCCCATGCTGACTTCAAACTTCCATAATCCTCCTGTCTCAGGCCTCTTTCTAAGTGCTGGGCTTAGGAGTGCGTGCCACCGTGCTCATCAGACAGTTTTCTTTTTAACAACTAGAATTATTAGACAATCGAAAGTGGATGAAACACAGGCACACTGCTGATTTAGACTGCCAAACTTTTCTGGATTTTTTCCCCTACATCCTCGCTTTTATAGTATGACAGTTAATGTTTCAGAAAAATTTACACTTTTTTTTCTATTCAGTTTATAGCCTAAGGTGGGGATCCCCAGATTTCCTAATCTCTGTGTTACAAAACTGGAGTTCACACAGGAGTCACTGACTAGCAAAGGATGTGTGTGCTACGTGAGGAAAGGGCAGCAGAGGAGATGAACAGTGAATGCCAAGAGCAGAAGAAAATGATAGCTGTGTGAGTTCCAGGGCCCAAGCCCCAAGCAGGAAAACAAAGGTGAATCCAACTTATGGGCTTCCTCCAGATCCAACCTGTACCACCAGTCACTCCTGAATCCTGTCTTGGGGATCCCGTTTGATGAACTTGGGCAGGAAATGCTCAAAGCTGCCATCCTTAATTTTGCAGAGAATCTCCAGGCCAGTGGAGAAATGTAGAGTTCTTAGACTGTCCTCTGACATCGTAAATGATATCTCCAATCCACACACAAATTTTCAGCTTTGGCTGGTGCTCGGCTTTGACTGGCCTCTGTTAAGAGACATTAACTTACCTAATGAGGGTTGCCTGGTCTTAATTAGAAACCAACTATCCTCCGTTGGCCCACTGCACAACACTAATGGGTAGAAACTAGGGCTGTCTGGCTTAGCAAATGACAATACAGTCATTAGTTGACATCTCACTTTTATCACACTTATGTGTGGGTGTGACTAGGTGTTTTAAGTTCTTGCTTTTTTGACTTCTCTGCTATGATGATGAACTGTTATCTGGAATTGTGAGCTCAAATCAACTCTTCCTCCCCTTAAATTTTTTTGGGCGCGATGGCCAGGATATATTTTATCATAGCAACAGTTTCCAAAAACAAAACTAAGAACAAAAATTACACCAGGTAAACTGACCTGGCTTCCAGGGACCTGGTCTGCTTTGTTCATAATTGTATGGACATTGTCTGGGCCACAGAGCTGAATAAGTATTTGTTGAGTAAATAAATAGATGAATGGATACACAGAACTGTAGGGGAACACCGGATGGGAGGCTGGGAAAGGCTTTTGAAAAAAACATACTGAGGGTAATGGAGAAGAAAGCAGTCCTGGCAGAGCAGGCTAAAGGAGTTTTCTGGAGAGAGGCAGGAGGCAAGATTGGTTCAGATTTATAGTAAGTCACTGTGCTTGGATTTGAAGATGGAGGAACTGGTAGTGAGAGATGAGGGAGAAAGTGAGGAATGGCCGTGGGGGAGGAGCCTCATATGCAAATATCGAACAGTAGACAGGGCTGTATCTGCTGTGCAAGATCAATCAGACAGCATGGAGGACTGGATGCCCACGAGGTGGCTCATTCCTGCAGACAGCAAGACCACTTAGCCAACTGGTACTAACTGGTAATTCAAGCCACAAACTGTGAGATCCCAAAACCAAGATAATGACACTAATGCCTAAGAGCAGGGAGATGAAGTTGGGAGATACTTAGATGTCACAGGAGTTAGAGACAAACCGTGGAGACTGAGAGATCAAGAAGAGAAAAGGAGCCAGCGACGGGAGTGCATGCCTTTGAACCCAGCACTCAGGAGGCAGAGGCAGGTAAACCTCTGTGAATTCGAGGCTAGTGTAGTCTATGGAGTGAGTTCCAGGACAGAATCAAAAGCTACACAGAGAAACCCTGTCTTGTAAAACAAACAGGTCTTTCCTAGCTATCCGCCATGGCGGGTGGATGAAAGACCTGAGCTAACATGGGGTTAGTTTGTTAAGCAACAATAAAGCCTTGTGCAGTTTGCATCAAGCTTTCCAATCTGTCTGGTGATTGGGGTGACCGAGGTCCTGGGCTGAGATCCTGGAGGCCTGAGCTTCCGGGGGTCTTACATTTGGGGGCTCGTCCTGGATTTGCGGCCACCCCTCACCTGAGTGGAGTCGATCTTGGAGGTAAGCGGGTACCCTGTATTGTCTGTGTCTTTGTGTGTTTGTGCCGGCTGAAATCTGGTTCTGTGCTTTGCAGTCGCTCGTGTCTTGGGAAGAGACAAGAGCTCTGGTCTCAGGAGGAGACAGAGTGTGATCAGCAGAGGTGATAGGGGATCACCGACTGCCATCCAGGAAGTCTGGGGGAACCTCAGGGACACTTGGGAGATTCCTGTCTGGGAGCCGGTGAGGGTACAGTAGTTCTCTTGGATTGGTGAAGTTATACGCCCTCCCGGCCGTCTGTATTTCTGGAGTGGTTTTGTCTGTCTAGGTGGAGATAAACATTTGTTATTTTTGTCTGTGTGTCTTGGGTTTCTGTTTTGTTTTATTTGTGACTTTGATGATGGGACCCACTGTAACCACCCCCCCCCACCTCGGTCTGACTTTTGACCACTGGATGAACGTTAAGGACCATATTTAGTCAGTTAAAGTTATGGCACCCCCTTTTGTTGAGTCACGTGGCGCCACACTAGGTAACTTTCTTTTCCAGTCTTTGTTTCTGTATGGTTTCTGTAAAGCCTGGAGGGTTGGAACAGGCTGGGTTACTGGGCAGTTGAGCAGCAGGTTTGTTATCTATGTTATCTGATCTGTTGCAATCCACACCCTGCCTGCATGCTTTTCAGTGATATATCAGTTTTGTGTTTTCAGGTCTACTGTTTCTGTTAATTTTGTAAGTATAAAGGTCCTGTATTAGGGTCACTAGCGACATCTGTATTTAGGCCTACAGAATTGTTTAGGGCAGAGGTTCGGGTGACAGCTTCCGCAGTCTGTAGGAGTGGGACTTGGTAGGAGCAAGTTGCCTGCTCCATCTGTAAGGAGACCCAGGCGGGTTGCCAATCTGTAGGGGAGACTTGGTTTTGGACCAAGTTGATCTCCATGGGGCTAGCCATCTGAAATTCTGAATAGAATCCTACTCTGTGTTACTGTGCTGTCTGTCCAAGTTTCACATTTGTGCTATGTGTTTGTAAAGCATCTTTTTCTGTCCCTACTGCCACGCATGTGGCATGCATGGGTCAGGGGTCTTTTCTTGCCCTGAGCACGTGGTGTTCAGGATAGGAGTTCCTCTGCCATGGGCCACAGGTTACAGTGTTCTGCGGCGGAGTCCCCTGAGGCCGCTGCTCTGAACTCCAACCATTGCTGTGGCCCTCACAGCTGAGCCTGGCCGGTGCAGATGAGTCTGTTTTTCTATCCTCACCTGCCGGTCTGTGAGGCATGCAAAGTGGAGCTGTCTCTGTCACAACAGCAATCCTGCCGTGGGTCCTGGCTTGTGGCGGGAGTTTCCCTGCCCTGAGCACATGGCTGCAAGGCCACCATCTGCCTGGCTGCCCCGCCTTCTCTGTGCTCCACACACATGGCATGCAGGGAGACCACCGGGTCTTTTTCCCACCCCTGCCTTGGCAGAGGGTCTGGGATTACCAGCACCCCCCACCCCCCCCAGGTCTCTGCCCTGAGCACATGGAGCTGGGGCAGATGAACTATCTGGCCTGATCAGGACGTTCTAAAGAAATGGACTTAAAGTTATTAAAAACTATAAAGGGGACTTTGATAAGAGTTTTTATGTTGACTGAGAAATGAGAGAGAATGTAGGAGACTAAAG